CGCGCGCTCGTATGCGTGTACGTGTGTCAGTGGGAGCTGTCCATACACACACACACACACACACACACACACACACACACACACACACAGGCTGTCGGGGAGCGCTGTCCACCTTCTGTGGTGCTGAAATCTGTGCACCACCGTCAGCCTTTTGTTTCAGTCGCCTGCCGATGCAGAAGCGGAAATGGCTCAAGTGTTTCACTGTAGTAGAGGAATGCAGCCCGGACCCGCCAACATAAATACTGAATATAGACAGACACACACACACACACACACACACACACACACACACACACACACATACATACATACACAAGCGAGGATAGTAGACGATATCAAGAAAAAAAGGTCTTAATTTGAAGTAGTAATTACATCTAGCAGACATTATTTTTCTTAAATGAATGATTAATCAGCGAACTGTGGTGTAACTGCTTTCCACTGCGGTTGAGGATGTTTCAGGGTTTTCTACAATACCGTAATGATGCCTTCGAATAAAAATACCACACTGATTAAATCAAATGTAGCCTACTGTCGCTTATTTGGAGCAAACAGTTGAGCAGATCTGCAGTGGAAACAAGTGAACATCTTGTTCTAGCGACACATTTCTTTCTCCTACTTGCTCTGAGGAACATTATTGTTAAAATGGTCATTTTTTCGCAGTGAAGCCGGTTTCAGTTTCGCCACCCTGCAATATCACAAACAGGCCCTGCACGACAAGGACATTAAACTATGATTTATTTGCTCTGCATATTAAATTTCCATAAAGTGTGGCATGATAATGAGGAGGTGGGCTAAGGACCTCCGCAGATACCAACTCAAACGTCGGATTAAATTGATATTAAGAGGTTTCGAAACGTTGCCCAACAAACCTTTAGACAGAACTGATGAATACAGTCCAGTAGCTGAAAGAGTCTTATGGCATTTGCGCCGGATGAAATAACATCCCTCCTCCTATCTTAGTCTGCCGCCTAGTGGCGTTCAGGGGCGCAGCACTCCGGTATGTTAAGCCATGATGGAGGCCCTGGTTTCTTACCGAGTTGAGAATTTGACGTACAGCAACAGAAATTCTGATAAGACTCGTGGAGCTTAACCAATGTTAAGTCTGTGTTTTTTTTAAATTAATTTAATTTGCTCACATTGTCAGTGTAGTGCACCACATTGGGAAAGACACAGGTTCCATTTTGCACACTTTGACAGCAGACAATAATCAGATCTTGATTAATGACAGGAGCCTCTGCATATCATGGCCCTTGAAGGGCGGGAGGAGTGATGGATGGGTGGAAGAAAGGTCTGATGGGAGGAGGAGAGGGTTTATCCAATCATCTCACCAACTCAGTGTTTATTTCCTTAAATCCTTCAAATAAGCAATGAGTAGAGAAAACAAATCAACGCTACAACGGGCATAGGGAGAGAAAATGAGAGTTCAGCTACATTAAAAATTAATTAGATTTACTGCTCATAAGAGTCCTTAATTGAACCAAACAAAGTGCAGCAAAAGAACATAAGTTATGATGTGTATCGTGAAGTGAATCAACAATCACAACCATTTACACACAACAATCTGGTCTGGTGGGTTAAAACATTAAAATGAATGTGCAACTTGGTTGCCTACATAATAAACTGTCTACATGCCATGTCATGAATATGGCACACTGGTGGGTCTCGATGTCGAGGCACCACATGACAAAATTGAAATTTCATATCAGGTCTCTACAGCCTGAGAGTCTGGCTTCCACTGATAACCAAAATCTTCAAAGTTGAATGAAATCCACCAGGCTGCCATAAAGCATGTTCATCATGCTCCTGCTTTACCCTCAGCTCCTCCAGCGTGAACTGGTTTCCACATTGAAGGTCATTGACTGCCCTCTTGTGGTAGAAATTCGGTGAAAAACCTAAACAGTTAATATGGACTCGCAAGAGATTCATTCTAAATTATATATATATATATAAAAAGAATAAATAAGACTTTCATTAATTATTTATATTATTAGATGCATTTAGTATTTAGATACTTTAAATTTAAATGCTTTTCGATGTCAGTAGTGTCTGATTGTTTAAATAATTCAAGCAATTAAAGTCATTTGTCCCCTGCCAAGGGAGGTAAGATGAAACAACAGGCAGCATCGAAGGTGCATCCAAGATTTGAAACTACTGGTGTGGTCTGACGACTCTTAAGCTGACATATAAATCCTGTTGTCTGTTTAGAAGTTTCATTAGTGGTTAGAACAATTGCTGTCGAGTTCCTGTTTCTAAACTACTCTTTTGTCCCAATCTAAATTGATGCTTGTTCTCTTTTCTAACACAGTTTTGCCTTCAATGGTCTCTTCATTACCAAAGTGCTGACAGACTGTGGCTGTAATGGCCGTGGCACCGTCCTGGCCCATCTTGTCTCATTAGCCGGACCTGATTGGCCATGAAGGTGTTCTCTTGCTGTCTCAGGATAAAGCGACTGTCTCTGCCACTCGTTAGATCATAATTCCTCAAGTATTCTGCCCCTGATGGCCTCTCGTGGAGCCTGAGCGGAGAGACCGAACATACGCTAATTGAAATATTGCTGGAAAAGGGGTAAAACATTGACCTTGAATGTGTTAAGCAAGTATTGGCCAATTGTGTTTGTGATGCAGCTGCAAAGAACTTCTCTGGCATGAAACAATGAGCCACAACACGGTAAAAACTGCAATTTTACCTAACTTGTCACAGTAATTTGGTATTTTAATTACCAGTGTGTAAAACATTTTAATACATTAAAAACATTTGATTGGAAAGAGGGTTTACTTTCAGTTATTTTCCAATTAAAATGTTAATTATACTGAATACCCAAAGATATGCAGCTAGCATCAATGCTACAGAGGATGGATGCTACACTTGTGTCATTGTGCTTTGTTATTATGGTTACTGATGTTTTGATTGGTAGTAGAAAGGGCTTTTCTGTCTCTATACAAACACAGCTAGTAAGTCAACAATGTTTTAATTGTGTTACTGATCAGATGTTGTCATATTTTCAGTTTAAACATTTTCTCTCAACTGTTAGAAGTCACAGTGAACATAGTGTTGGGCAGTATGAACAAAATTATTTAGATACTTAAGAGGTTTCACAGTATATTATGGTATTTTGTTTTTGTATGACTGGGTATATGTTTATAGTGGCTTATTTTACTATCATACTTAAGGATTTGATCACTATAAGAGTTTTCTTGGTCCGACAGAATTTAAAACAGTAGTAAAAGCAGAATTTGATATGTCAACTTTAACATTGCTTCCTCTTCAAAATAAAATATTTAAGTATTTGAGAGATATTCCTCAAACAGTTCTATTGCACGAGTAAGAAACAAGTGAGTTACAACAGTTGTTTACGCTATGTACCAGTGTAACGGTATATGATACTAAACTCATACTAAACAGGAAGTTATATCGCCCAGCAATACGTCTGATTATAAGTCATAAAACAGTTGAGCAGCTGTTGAAACACGTCTACAAACACTGAGTTAATTAAAAATATTTTCACAGAAAGGCACTATAGCTTTTTACCCTGAAATATCTCAAATCTCTCTGACTCCGTCTCTCAGTATCAAAGGACGTACATGGAATCTGAACAAAACTCTCCTTCTCTTCTTTGGCAAACTTCGTTGTATTTAGTGGGTGACATACTGGAGGAGGCAGAGCAGACTTTCTTTTTCAATGCCACATTCTAACTAGACAATATGTAGCTACCAAGGTACCGTCTCAGAGGGTGAAAAAATCCACACCACATTCACTGTGGTTTCAATTGGCAGGGGTCAATTGTAATCACTGTTAAAAGGTAGCTTTAATGTGGGCAGCCCACATGCCATGGTAACAAGCGCTGGGAAGAGTAGGGAGATTTTTGCCCTTAATGCACTGCAGCTAGTATCTACAAATGACTTTGGGGCATAAGCCAGAAATGTATGAGGTGAAGAGGAATGTGAGTTTATCACATTGAATCTTAGTGCTCGATGGGGTTCCCTGGGCTACGGGGAAGATACCTGTGGAGTTTAGGTATGGTCTATCAGCGCCACAGACACTCTTGCAGTGGTTGCAAATTTATCTCCAAATCCTATTATCTTCAAATTCTTTTTTAACAGAGAGTACTCCATTGATTCAAAGTGTTGAGAGACTTGTGACCTAACATGCAACCCAAGTGACTTTGTTTAGACCCTCCCTGTACAGTAACTCGCATGTCTTAAGCCCAGTCTGAGGTAACGCGTGATGGCATCAATCAGCAGGTTAGAAGAGATTACGTCATAACAGTTTTCATACTGAGGACACTTCGCAATAAGTAAATGGATCTTCACAGAGCTGCTCGTTCTAACACACTGATGCTTTAACACGCTTATATTCACTGAAACACACAATTATTTATGGTTGTTTCATTACCTAAAATGGACGATTTTTATGTGATTTCCACCATATTAACTGTTATTGAGACATTCGGTGCAATTTAACTTTAAAAAGTAGCAATTTCTTTAGCCAATTTAATGTGCGTTTGGTAATTATAACATGCCAAAGGGGTCATGGGGTGAAAGAAAGCTGGAAAGAGCTTAGTTGTTGATCCTGATGACGTCTGACTTCCCATTATGGGTGTACTACACTATGCAGCCCAGTAGATGGCAGTATGAGCACAAGTAAATGTTAGTATAAGTGTAGGGTCGTATCATGCGAAAACTAACACTGAGACAGATACATACAATAGTGAAGGAGAGAATTTCATGTTCATTTTGGGGGACAATTGACTTAAACAAGAACCCTGCTAAATGAAAGAAAAGGTTATTTGCTGGTTGTTGTTTTCAGAAACAATATAACATCAATGCAACTCGGTCTCCTGTCAAGTTTAACAACAGTAATCTTTGTGTTTCTCTAAAGGTTTGATGTCACACTTAGAAACTAGAGCTAACAAGATTGTGATTATTGATTAAGATTATGTTGTCACTATCACACTAAACCATAATTTGAACTTTACTCACTGAAACAATTCCCTGTTTTAACCCTAAATAAGAGGTTACTAAAGAAAAGTGTTACTTTAGTTTGCAACCACTCTCATAAAACACACACACACACACACACACACACACACACACACACACACAAGAGAATGTCACACACGCAAATCACTGGATCCAGTCATTTTAAGATCAGAGGGCTTCCTAAAAACACTGTTATAAAGAGCCTTGGACACACACTCACATAATTAAAGGGAGAAAGAGAGCGCACGCGGTATTGTTTGTCATCGTTTAAATGCCATTAATTAAAACGTTAACCTGATTGGGTAGAGTGTGAGAGGGGGAGAGGGTGTCTCTTTCCCAATAGGCGAATCCTTTTTAATAACCCGCCTCGAGATAATGATGTAAAAAGACTCAGGCGTCTCGTGCGTAACGAGGATCATCGTGGAGATCCGGTGAAGGTGAATCAGACATAGAAAGAGAGAGCGAGAGAGAGAGAGAGAGAGAGAGAGAGCGAGAGAGAGAGGCAGGAGAGAGAGCAGCACTTATTACACGAGTCTCCTCCTCGTCTCCACACCTCAGCTGACAAGTCGGGCCAGCCTGCAACTTCACCACACTGACACACAACTCAACTCGTAAAAGGACAAACCCAGGAAGAAACTCATAGAGACGCGTAAAGAGTTTCCCCAGAAGCGACCGTTGCCTGCAACAACGCGGAATCCACTAGGCTATGGACAGAAGGATGAACTTGAACGGCGGCGCGGGGGACATTTTTCACAAAACTCTCAGCGCCGTGTCCACTAAAAAAATGGACCCTTTCAGGTCGTCGGCCGGCATTGAACTACCAGCCAGAGACCGCCAGTCACCTATCAGCTGCTTTGACCAGACCGACCCCGACCCAATTCAACCGGGAGGACTGGCAGGAGGTAGAGGGGGGCCACTGGGTCTGCCGACCGGATCTTTGTGCGTCAATTTCGGGGAAAGCGCCAACAGGACCTCGGTGGCGGAGAGCAGCGGCGGAGAGCAGAGTCCCGACGATGACAGCGACGGCAGGTGTGACATGGTCCTTCTGGCCGACGGGCGGACGGTGCCCGCGGGGAATGGAGAAGGAGGTAAGAAAACCAAAGAGCAGAAAATACTGAGGCTAAACATCAATGCCAGAGAGAGACGACGGATGCACGATCTGAACGACGCGCTGGATGAGCTCAGAGCAGTCATCCCTTACGCGCACAGCCCGTCAGTGCGGAAACTCTCCAAAATTGCCACTTTGCTGCTCGCAAAAAACTACATCCTCATGCAGGCGCAGGCACTGGAGGAGATGAGGAGGTTGGTGGCGTACCTCAACCAGGGCCAAGCCATCTCCGCTGCCTCGATACCGGCCACCACTGCCCTCGCAGCTCCCGGCTTGAGCGCGTACGAGCAGCCGCCTGGATACCCCCCCTTCCCCACCGGAGTGGCAGCGTCCTCCTGCCCCGATAAATGTGCCCTATTCAACAACGCCACCTCCAGCCTCTGCAAACAGTGCACTGACAAGCCTTAACTGCGGCTGACAAAGACTCAGAAAAGAAGCACACGAGAGAGCAGACACCACTTTTAAGAACACTTTTTGGAGAGGTTAACCTGTGAGGCTACTGTTGTTGAAGTCAGTAGGCTAGAGACAAAGAAGTAATGCCGATGAATACTTTTATAATATTTACTAAATGCATTCAAAACGCGCTTTTTTGTTCAAACAATACTTGATTGTGTATATAAATCATCCTTAAAGTGCTGGTATGAATGACTGTAAAGACCAAACAGAAGTACAGTAGGCCTGAAAGAGTGGCTGCAAGTGTTGAGTGAGTTTGTTGATCACTTGCTCTGTTATGGACCCTTTGGGAGATTTGGGTGACCTGACAACCTGCGACTTAAGTTTTTTTATGTTTGTCTTTTCAACTTGAATAGACGGACACCTTCCTGGAGTTAGTCCAACCTCACTCACTGCTGCTTCCTCTTTTTATTTTATTTATTTGCGGGTTTTTTTCCCTTCATTCACCTCAGAGACATTTGCTGTTTGCTTTCTGGTCCAAGGCCTGTTTTCATGAACTTTTCTATTGAGCACGTGGAATGTCATGACCAAGGAAAAGTTAAATGAAATAGATGACAAGTGAAGTCGTTTAATCGATCAGATATTTATGTGCTAATCCAGACACTTGTTAATAGTTGCGCACGCCTATTACAATTCTTTTTTGGGGGCACTGTGATATAATAAAATTTCAGAAAAATTTAGAAAACCTGAATGAAGGTTTATCAGTCTTTTGTAATTTATTAATTTGGATATTTATAATGGACATTTTTGCTTGCATTGCACATTGTAGTATCTTTCTTGCTGTACCTTTTGCGGGTTTTTTTTCTGTCTCACAAGATGATCGAGGTCTTCAGATTATTCGCGTTGTCAGGTCAAGCTGTGGATAATTGTAGATACCTTAGTTATTATATGAGCAAAGAGGGCCATTTGTATGTATTTCAGTGTTGAAAAGCTTTATTAAAATATTTTGAACAACACAAATACTTCTGATTATTCATCTACTGTGAAGTTTAGAGGAATCAGAGGAAGCTGCCTTTAACTTTTATTCTGGATTTGATGAATACACACTTATTTTCAACCTGAATTTGACATTATTATGGTTTAACCGTAAAACAAACTGGAGGTATTTTAAGTGAATATTATAAAATGAGGTCAGAGTTGCTGGGGGTTGATATAGCTTAGTCTCGGACTCTCACCGGGTGTCAAGTCACACTGTAAAAGAATTGTTCAGTAATTTTCTGCTCCATCAAAACCGGTAACTTTCCTTTTCTTGTCTTGTCTTGGAAGCGAAGGCCAGACGTGGTGGGCGAATATCGCCTCAAGGCAGAAACAAGATTGTTTGTGCTCCTAGAAAAAAAAAAAAACTAACTCTGGCGACTATTATTGTGATTATTAAAACAATTTCCATGACGGTGTGTAATAATATGTTAATTCGAAAACAAGTGTGTGTGAAAACTGTCGACTGTAATACCTGGCTTCACATAATGAAACACATCGTTAAGGCAATTAGACCTCCAGAATGTGATTAAGGAATGTAATTACGACGCTGTTCATTGCCGTAATTTGGTGTCTTTAATCACAACGCAGCCATCAGTTGCACTCCCATCGACTCGCCCTTTGTCCTCCTCAGTCGTCTGTCCATACCAAAACATTTTGATGAGGGTCAAACAGCAAAAGTCTGACCAAAAAAAAAAAAAAAATGCTCCTGAATTATCTTACATAATCTCAGTGCTAAAACCAGACACTCTGCATGGATCTTCTAAATTTAGACAGGAAGTGAAGTTGGACATTTTGCATCAGATGTAAGCACTTCAAACACTTAGCTCAAACACTAGGAACATTATTTCCAACTGAGATGGTCACTGGATGAAAACAATCTCAGTGTTGTTTTTATTGACAAATAAAAGCAGCCTTTTTTTACTGATAAGTTTTGTCAAATAAACAGTGAAGCCAGTGTACTTCAGCACCATGGACAGAGGCAACAGATTTACAGGGAAACATACAATTAAAACTATTTTCCCACCAGATGAATGCACGTACTGCTAATTTCTTTATTATATATATTTTGAACCATTAACTATTTACTGTAAGGCTGACAGTTTTGCTAATAATGGGCAGATTCACATCTCTGTGGCAACAAATAGGAATCTAAATTCAACACCATGAGGATATTTTTTAACTAAGCAAAATGGATATTGACATCTAAATAATTCTTTGTAGATTATACAATTTTCCTAAAGAGAAAAGGATTATCAGATATTTGATTTCTTCAACATCCCTTTTTGGTTTAACGTAGAAACATGAAAAGTTTTAGTCACTTTTAACTCAATAAATTCTAGTAATTCAGGACAATATATGCATAATAATAATAATTCCAATGCTTTGTACTGATTTAACTGTGACACAGTACATAAATAAGAACAAACCATAAAAAAAGAATGAGGTGCACATTTGATCAATGTTTTCTTCTAGTAATTTAAAGACAAATAACTCTTGATCTCTTTCCTCATAAAAGTGAACAATACATTACAACAGTGGTCCCTGGTTTTCGCCAGTCTCCGATCTCAGCTTTGTGTCTGTATGATGAGCCATTCCGACAACAGGGTCATTACAGTGTCCCATTTAATCCCATCACACCCCTGAATGCCTTGAATCTTCACAGAACAGCTCTTAATCAAGAATGGAAATAATCAGGAGACATCAAAACAGCTCTGGCATGAAAATCCTGTCAGCAGTTCCTGCTGGGTATCATCTCATTTCAGGACTTAACTCAGATGTTTTTAAGTTTTAACACAAAAATGTAATTTTTTTTAATCCTTTGCTGTTTGGTAACTGAGACTTTAAACATTAATTATGCAATATGCATTAATGCACAAATGACTGGAGCATTTAACCCATACTAATATTCACATTAGCCCAGAAGAGGAAATTCCCCAGGGGTGAGAGAGAGCCATATGCGTGTGGAAAACAGAACACAGCATCCAAAGGAAAACAGACCACAGCACAAATAAAATCAGTTCAAAGGCAGAAAAACTGTACAACTGTCAAGGGGATGACAGCATTTAGTTGAAGCAAAATATGATTAAAAGACATTCAAAATATTCCTCTACATGTGGGAACTGCTGGATGCACTGTGGTGTTTCAGTCATCAGGCTGGTGAAATGTCATGTACACACAAGGGTCTCCAAAATGTTATGTTAGTGAGTTCGGACTGAGCAGTGATACAGCACTCAGAGGTCTCATGGAAAGAGGAAACCAGGAGGCTCAAGCTTTCTTCACTGGCCACCAACCACAGCTAGTAGTCATAACAGGCACCATCGTTTTTATTCATGAGTCTAATAAAGCTGAATCTGTCTTAAAGGCGTTTACAGCGAGATTCAGGGCTCATGAATAAAAGTGGAAGATAAAAACACCCCCTTTTCATAAACCATAAAATGTCCAATTTACCATATCAAGGGCCAGCAGGGTGCCTATTCATAACGCGGATGTGATGTATGCTAAGGATGATAAACATGAAAGTCAAAATATACATAAGAGCATTGAATTGAAATGTCCCCTTCATATCAGTAACAGGCAAAACTCTGGCAGTGGATTCATCCATGCTGTGTCATACACTGTGTGTAAAGATATATGTGCTGCACTGGCTGAGGCACCAAATCAACTGCTGGGTGGTAATTCACTTTTGTCAGGCTACTGATAGCAATGCATAATGTTGTCTTTGTGTTGTGCGCACAAAATGCAGGATAATAAAACTGTACAACTAAAAGGAGTCAATTCTGGTTACGTTAAGTATATATCCAGTATTTTAAAAAACATAACCGTTGTTATGAGAGATGAAGACATAATGGTATTTAAAGTATTAAGTCGCTCTACACATTTGAGCAGTCACTGTGTTTTTATTAAATCTACAGTAAATTAAAGACAGAAATGTTGTTTTTACCAGATCCCTCAGTTAGAGAAGCAACATCTTCTATTTATGATGAACTGTTCAACCTGCAGATATCCTCATTATATATTCTAAACTCTGCATGGAAAATGGATTTGGGGTTGATTATAATAGAGAAGCTATGAGAAGATGCGCTAGAAAGAGTACATACAGCTTCAATTTGTGCAGCCTGATGCGGTTTAAGGCACTTCATGAATTGTATTTGCCTAAAGTCAAATTTGCTACAATGGATCCTGAAGTGCAGTTCGCTCCCACATCCCTTTCTCACATGTTTTGACATCTTAAATTATCAAATTCTTGGAGCTCCATTTTAAAACTCTGTCAGATATATCTCTACACTTAACACAACCACATCTTCTGACTGCTATATCTGGGATCTCGGACAAGAATAGGCACTTAACTGAAGTCAAAAATACGGCTGCATCCTTTGTAACACGACTAGGTTAATTTAATTGAACTGGAAAAGTCTGTTTGAGAAAAGAAGTGCAGTTACTTAGGCAAAATATAATAAATTAGAGTTTCCCCTTAAAAAAAGTGAATTAAGCTACAACTAGGTTCTAAACTCTACTGGTAATCTAAAAGATCATTACTGGTACACATATTACATTCAAGCAAGATATGAAAATGTTCATTACATATTGAGGTCGTCTCTCTGTGTGCGTGCTTAGAGATACAGTCCAAATCTTGACAGTATGACATTTCTTCATTTTATGACATTTTAAACCAATTATCAAGAGTATATAGAAGTTTATCCAGGCCAATTTTCTTGAAATACCAACTACACTCAGTGAAACTGTATGTTTTCCTGTGTGCCTAATGAGCTTCTAATTCATTATAGTGGGAATGTTTTTTTTCAGTGAGGCAGGCTCGAGGTCAGGTAAACATATGGTGGCGTGTTTAGCTCTGAAAGCTCTAACAGGGTACAATAAATGACGTAGTAATGTCTGATTATCCTCTCATCTGGAATACAATTGTTGAGTAACATCTCTAATATTCAAACTGCTTCCATATTAATCAGATTAAAGTCCCAATCCCCTAATCCCTGTTTACCGATGGCTCTGTTTTTGTGCCGTAATCTGATGTTCTTTTATTCCTCTGGGATTAAAACGTGTCATGGCCAAGCGCAGTAATTTGTGGTGTTGTTTTGGACAGACCGGGCCATGTCGTTGTACAGGTTGTTTTTTTTCCACGACAACAATTTACTCTGGATTTGGGTAAACAAAAACAGGTGCAATGGAGTGCTCCCATTGTGCAAATATTTTCACCAAACAAATCAAATTATGAATGCTGTTGAGAGACGATTCGTTTGATTTGACGACATTTTATGGTGCTGTGGCTTAAAAGAAAAACTCTTTAAACTCTGGTGTTTTTTTCTCCTGTTAGTTAAATTGGATGCTTGCATTGTGAGAAACTGCTTACATGGTCGACACACTTAGATCAAAATTTATATGAATTTGGAAAATGGTGCAACACAGTTATCTAATTTTTCATCAGATCATTAAATGAACTGCCTATTTGATATTTTAAGTGTCACAGCAACACAAAAATAACTTCTCATGTACTTTCGTTTATACACAATGGTTGTGTAGTATTCAAGGCTCCCCAGACAGCTGTGAACTTTCCATTTCCTTGACCTTAACATTCAGATAATGTGTCACTGTTTGATTAGAGCTCACAGTGACCCAGCAGCCTCCCTGGATCATGTGAACCGGCAAAAACAGCATGATACTCAGCTGCACTCAGACACACATTCATACATTCACACATTCACAACACTGCTACAAATTTCATACACAGTCAAAGCTTTAAAAAAAAAAAGGTAATGAAAAACAAAATTACAAGAAGAAAAAAGAAAACATGATTTGGGGTCAGATTTTACATCCAAGAAACCTGGGCTTGCTGGAAGCTCTGTATCGGTCTATACCTTGTGTGTGCATGGGTATGTGTGTGTTCTTGTGTAGTCTGTATGACAGAGAGAAAGAGAGAGAGAAGGATCACTTGTCCTGATCAATATGCAGATCCTGACCCTCTCAGG